GAAGGAAGGAAGGAAGGAAGGAAGGAAGGAAGGAAGGAAGGAAGGAAGGAAGGAAGGATCCACTCTAACTTTTCAAGTGGTTAAAAAGAAATGGTGACAGATCTGTCATTGTCTTTCACTACCAACATTACCTTCTGGAACACTTGGCTGTGTTAGGCTTAGAAGGCAGAATACTTGCAGACTTTGGTTCAGAAAGTTCTACCTTATGGCCATGGGCCTACAGCATAAATAAGCAACTTCACTTTATGATATGTTCTTGAATATTTCATTCAATATTTAATCATACTCTAGGATGCCTCAGAGTTTCAAAACATGAGGCCACATGTTGACTTTACTAGCCAACAAAAATATGATATTATTCCTTCATGTATGTAGGAATCTATGTAGCATCTATGTAAAATCATTGGTGGAAGTCTTCTGAAGTTTAAATTAAAAACATCACCAATATGTTCTCTGCAGGTACAGTTTTACTCCAAACTGCTGCCCTTATTTTTGAAGCTTTAAAAACAACATCATATGAAAGGACATATTCATCCATCCTAATTTGCATACTTGTTAAGAGCAAATAAAGGAATTTCTCTCTTACCTTATTATTTTACCTTGCGTTAAAGTTGGTAAAGATCAGAAATCCTAGCTTATGGAATACATTGCCATTTAGGATTTTTTGAATTAGTCCAAATACCTAAAATATTCATGAGTATTATCAAAACCCAACCTATATTCCAATATGCCCTAAAGAGTTCTCACGACCAGGACTCCAAGAAATAAAAGACCTTTTTACTACATGTGGTAGAACTTGCCATGATTACAGAGCAATAAATAGGACTTGAAAAAGGATGAAGTTGGACTAACTTTTCATTCTAATACTCGTGCTGAGTTGAATCAAAGAGACACCTCCAGTGGTGCTCTCAATTTAGCTAACGAAGCGTCAGCCTGGACATCTTCACTTTCCTTCAAGCTTGCTGCCAGTTGCAAGCTGGAAACAGTGTGGGAAGAACCAATGGGTATTTGGGAGGGAAACATGCAGGAGATGAAACTGGAATTTCTGCTAAGCGATAGGGTGGCCTGGATGTGAAGAGACAAGCTTGGGTTATTTAACTTCTTCAAAGCCAACCATCCTGGGAACGGCATGCATGAATGCACCTGAACCAGAAATGTTCCCAAAGCATCTTCCTGGCTGATGATTGAACTCTGGTTGCCTGGCCACTGGGGGGTGGGGCTTGGGTTTACTTTCAATTTGTCTCTTCACCTGCATTTTGCTTCAGATTTTGCCTGAAATCAGTTCTTGCCTAGTAAAAGTACCTTTTCTCTGAATCTATGGAGTCAAGCATTTTCTTTTTAGGAATTGATTGGCGGTAGCCCTGGCATGAAGGCCCAAGTAAATTCTCTAAATAAACTATCAATATGATGAACATATTTATTTGGTATTTATACTGGGATATTTTGAAAGACAAAAATCAAACAGAGGATAATATTCATTATATTAACATTTTACCCCAGAGACATAGTTGGATCTTAATCCATTTATTTGCATCCAATTCATTCTTTTTTAAAAGTTTCAATATATTTCCAAGTGTTTACAAAAATCTTTGGGAAATATAACATGCCAAGTATGTTATATGCTCAGTGAAAATCACAACATTCAATTCTTTCTATAACTATGTTAACTATGTTAGAACCTAAAGGAAATGGACAATGTTTGTCCCAGTTAATTTAACAGCCAGAATACTTAGCCAAATATTGTACTACCTGTATAAAATTAGGCATAGAAGTAGAGTATGTAGTCCAAATTGCATATAAAGCAGCATATAAAATAATTTGTACTCACATCCCATCTAAATAATACTCATAATCTCCAAATATTACAGTAATAGCTACAGATTTAAGGATCAAATTAAGTATCAAGGATGAAAGGAGTCAGCTTTGCTGAGAATCACATTGTAACTCAAGAGTATAATACATAACCATTTAGCAATTACTAATGAGTACTACAACATTGTGTAAAAAAGCAGCTTAATTTTTTTTCAGTTAAGACCATAGACTAAATCCTAATTATAATGCTCACCTACATAAAACACTGTCTTAGATTATACATGCACACATATGAAAAAGAAGTAGGTTTAGAGAGATTCTGACCAACCTTTGTTTATAAGTATATTTCCAGCAAAGTAGATTGACTGGCATCAGCATGAAATTGCTGGTGGAAGAGGAATCACATGAGGAAAGTACCAATCACCATCAGCAAATAGTAATATCAGCTGAACAAAAAGTGCTATGAGATATGCAGAGTAAACAAACTGAATGAATGGAAATGATTTTATCACAGTGTATTTCAATTACTGTAATTTCAGGTGTTATTGGTACATATAATAAGAAATATACAACTGAGAAGAAAAATGAGATTTTTCCAGATTACGGTGTTTCATTCCGCTTTGCAAGCAAGTGGCATTTCAGCCTAGTGTTATTTGAAATCTATATATTATATGTATTTGTAGAGGGTTGTAAGCAATCACTGCATTTGCTCAACAGTATTAAAGTAAAAATCTGTTGATAAATGGAGGTATCAGAGCTTTTTTGTCATGTTTTCACAAAAATATTTCCATGTAAAACCTATTTTCTACTGTTTTCTAAAATAGTAAATACTTCTGTTGTGCAAATAATGAATGGTATGCTAAAATCACATGCTTTCATTAGTATCAATAAAATTTTTGCAAAGTTTTTAAGCACTCCAGAATTTATCATTTAGCTCAGATATAAGCACAAGCATTACACACACACACATACACAAAGAAGAAAATGCTAAACAAATTAGTTGAGTTATTGAGCTATGACATCTGCATGTAGATTTAGCATCATTATATAGATTAAATAATTGACCATTTATTCTTTCCCAAGTACATATTAACCCTAGATTATACAATGACTGACCATGAATTATTTGGGAGAAAAAAATTGCTCCTATCAGAAAAAGAAAACATAAAGATTCAGGTAAGATGTAGATTACATTATACTTAATCCATTCATCTATAATAAAAGTTCATCCTGAACTAATATAGCATATTATTATTTTCTACATGATAGATTCATCATACATCGTGGTTTTAGTTACATATTATGCACTGTTCTTAATATATATTCAGTGCATATCTGGTAACAGCTCATGAAAAGTTTGAGTGTATATGCTGTGAATACAAATTAAAAGGAGAATGTGTTTGCATATTATGAGTCTACTATATTGAACCCATAGTCAAATCTTTTACAGTATAAAAGGAAGTTCCTAACATACATAAAGAAGTGGTTCCGTCATGCTTCTACAACCTAGTGAAATTTAGTTTACACCATCTAAACAATTCAGAAAAGACTGAAACAAGTATATATTTGTAAGAAAATTCAGAGAACCACATTTCCTCTCTAAAACATCTTCTAATTCATTTATTTTCATAAAATACAAGACTTGGAATTATAGTTTCTGGTGACAAAAATTATTAGAACCAGAGCTTAATCTGAAGACGTTCTAAGAATGGATTTTTTTTATTCGAGCAAAAAATGGAGAGCAATAGATAGAGTTTAGCAGATATAATGGGATGAGGGGATGACCTTGGGAGATGGAGACATGAAATGCAGTCAAGGGAAGGGTCAATAAAGGACAACCTATTCCAAAATGGGGTGTGGTTGGGACAAGTAGCTCAGAGGGGACTTTCCCTAATTTCTTGAGTTTTAATGAAGACCGGGGGGATCTGTTTTTAGACTTGCAAAATTTTGTTAATATAACCTTACAATAAAATTGAATTAATTCTTCTGATTGTGCTTCCTTTATGGTCTACATTGCATAACTGCACAATTATTGTAGCAGTGAATTATACCATGCTAAATACCACGCTAAAT